CGAGGCATGCACGACGCCGGCGAAGTCGCGCCCTGGAACGTTAGGCTTGGTCACGCCGAACAGGTTCTTCAGCCCGTTGGCAGCGTCGCTGGGGTTGACGCCGCTGGCGCGCACGCGGACCAGCACGGTCGACGGGCGCAGCTCCGGCACAGGCCGTTCGGCGACGGCGAGTCGGCAGACATGCGCTTCGGCGGTGGCGGTGGACAGGAGGGCCTTCATCGTGTCTCGTCTGGCGGGAACAGTGGCGGATGGTGCGAAGACAACCAGGTTAAGAGCCAGCGGAGGGATCGCGGGGTTCTTGTCGGCGAGATATTGCCTTGCATGGCGGGGTTGATCGCCGAGAGATGAACGCCGAGAAGAAGCAACAACATGATGATTAAAACTCCGCGGTGATGATGCAGAACAGGAAAAAGCGTGAGCAGCTTGCTTACCTGCCTGTCTGCCTGCCTGTCTGACTGATTGACTGCCGATCGATTGCAATGGCACCAGTCAAACCGACCTGCTTCACCGCGGGGTCCAACCCGCTCTCCAAGTCGCCCTCCCAGTATCCCCCGTAGACAAACCAAACAACACACTGACTGCTAGCGAGGCCAGATTCGGCGGCGCCATTGAGTTCAACTGGGTCGAGCCGCCCGCCGACGGGAACAACCTGCACGTCCACTGCTACATGCGGCCCAGCAAGGGCATCTACAAGAAGCACCTGGAGAACGGCACCAAGCCGCCCGTGCACTTCCACCGCCACCAGTACGAGAGCTTCGAGGTTATCGGCGCCGGCGATTTCACCGTCGAGATCGACGGCGTGCAGCATCGCATCCGCAAGGGTGACCCGCCCGCCGTCGTGCCGCCGTACCGTCACCATGTCGTCTACGGCACCCCGGGCGTCGAGCAGGCCGAAGTCGACTTCATCCTGAGCTCCAAGGACGACCGCAACAAAAACGACAAGAAGAAGGACGCCGACGCCCTGCGCCAGCAGTATCTGCTCGACCGCATGTTCTTCGAGAACTGGTACGGCTACCAGGAGGAGGTATTCCAGGGCAAGACCAAGTTTGACTTTATCCAGATTCTGTCGGTGAGTTGCAAATCCACTCCACTCAACTTCCAGAGGTGAGGGATCCCAGCTAAATGAGATAATACCCGTCAGATGTTCGACGCAGGCGACACCTACCCCTCGCTGCCGCGCTGGGTGCCCTTCCGCACCACCGTCGGCGTCATTCTGGGCGTCGTGCTCGGCCGCTGGATCGGCGGCTTGCTGGGCTACCAGCCCTTCTTCCCCGAGTGGACGTCCGACTGGCAGCTGGCCTGCAACCGGATGGAGAGGAACTGGACCCAGCGCCGCTTTGCCGTCCGCGATGCCCAGGAAAAGGCCCGGGCGAGACTCGCCAAGTCGGCAGAGCAGCAGGCGCAAACGAGTTGATCTCAGGTCGAACTCTTGCTGATGAAGATGGATTGATTGATGGACCAGTGTCTCTTGTATATTATGGATTGGTGTTTGGGCTTGTCTTGTTTACGTGAATGAAGGGTTTCGATGTTTGGTTATGTCGAGTTGAGCGTGGAAGGCTGAATCATTGTATGAAGATACCTGGATTTGTCTATCAACCTGATAAGCTATACGAACCTCGTCCAAAAAAAGTTCACTGTCTCATGCTAAGATGAGTCTCAACAAGAACACACCGGTGCTGTTTGTAGTGTTTAGAATTGAATCCTAGTTAATATACACACAGGTGGTTTGGACATGATTTGATTGAGGGAAACCAGGAAAACAAGAAAGTACATAGACAAAAACGCAAACGTATGTACAGTACATGTACATCATGTAGATATTACAACTGTCTCACCTATAATGCTGAGTATCTCCCTGACGCATCGTCCGTAACAGCCGCAGCAATCAACCGACTCATTTCCGCCGCCTGTACAACCTCAATAGTCAGCTCAGCTTATACTAATTATTGGTTGGAGACCTACGTTTGGAGCCATCACCATACTGAAGTGACTGCCCGGCGCTTTCGCCACAAAGATCTTGCTCCCCGGTAGCAATCGCTCCCAACCATTCCCCCCAAAGTCCTCTCGCCGCCGCAAGAGGAACCCTGTCACTTTGACCCCCAAGTCTAGACCCGCTTCATCCTCCGAGTCGGATACCACCCCGTCCGACGCCCACACGAGATACACCTCCGGCACCTGTCCCTCCATTGCCGTCGGCCTGTATCGGTCGACAGCAGCCAGCGTCGACTCAAAATGCTCGACGAGCCACGCCGGCGCCGGCGCCCCATCTCCCATGACATTGTGTCGTGCCAGCCAGCGCAACACCTCCACTGGCATCGCTTCGTACACATTCCGCGGCGGCACATCGATGAGAATCAGCTTCCGCACCTCTTCCCCAGCGCGCATCAGCACCTTGGCCGCCTCGAAAGCGTAATAGCCGCCGGCGGACCATCCCCCGAGGATATACGGCCCCTTAGGTTGGCGAGCACGGAGTTCTTTCACCCATGTCTGAACGAGATCATCCACGCTAAAAGTCACGTCGCGCCCGGCTCGCAGGAAGGGGCTGTTGAGTCCGAAGACGCACCATCCCGATCCAATCTCTGGGAGCTTCGCATACGAAGACGCCGACCCACTCCCGTCAGGGAAGAGAAAGAGGTATTTCTGCGTGGCCTTGGGATCGCCTTGAAGAAGAACGGAGAGGGGGACAGAGGGAGAACGCGAAGGCTGCATCGGAGCAGAAGACACAGGAGCCGAAGACAGTTGCAGACTTCTTTCAATATCGGTCATCGAAGATCCGGCCGTGAGAATCGTCCGGGGGGACCGCGATCCCAAGCTGCTCGCGCACTGCTCCAGCGATGGTAAGGGCCATCAGAGAGTCTATTCCCACGGCAGACAGATCGTCGGCTGCCAGGAGCTCCTCAACGTCGATTCCGAGCTCTCGCGCGATGAGCGAGCGCAGATGAGATGTCTTGTCGGTCGGTTCCGTGTCCCGGACACTGGACAAGGACTCGGGATCATCCGTTTGCGGAGTCAGAATCGACTCCGACGACGGCGTCGAGTCTCTGCTACTTGGACCGGTCAACGTGGAGAAGTAATGCTGGAGATCATGAATCGTTGAGCAGTCTTCAAAGAGTGTCTGCGGCAGATCGATCTGAAGCCGTTCCCGCAGCCGAGACAGGATAGTCAGACTCAAACAGAGAGTCGATCCCAAGCGCGGAGAGGTCGCTGTCATCGGATATCTGGCTAGCTGGGACGCCTGTTTCGTTGGCGATGAT